AAAGTCAGTTGCAACCATTAGTGTGTGATTGAACAGGTGAATGACTGAGTGAAGTGTAAAGTGCTTTGGTCATTTAATCTGACTTAAAAAAGTGCCATATAAGTACAGGCCATTTACCATTTAATCAGCATGCTGAGGATCTGTTTAGATTATTTCTGTTGGTAAGAACTTCCTCACCTACGCAGCAGAGTGATAGCAACCAAAAATTAGATAGATATCAAGGTATAGTGCCAGGAGGCTTTACAGTTGTTGAATTAGTTTAACTAACTGACCAACTTTAAATATGACCAACTTTGTCATATTTAAAAATAAATACATAAATAAATAAATGCTCAATAAATAAATATGCATACAATTCATTGCCCCCAAAAATACAAAAAACAATTAAATGTAAGTAGAAATTAAATTATACATGTAAATATGACGGGCAGAAATGTAAAAAGGGCAGGCAGAAATAATTAGCCGCGAAGAAATAACTAGGGTAAAAAAATACAACGGAATAATAAAACAGACAAAAATATTATAACATAAATATAAATAAATACTTGAAAATATAAGTAATTAAAATATAAAGTTGAAGATTATAAAGGACAAAAAATAAATAAGGTAAATATTACAAAGGCAAATAAATAAAGAAGCTAATTAAAAGAGTTATATACATTTATGTCTCACTGTATAATTTAATTTCTACTTACATTTATTTGTTTATTGTATTTTTGGGGGCAATTAATTGTATGCTTATTTATTCATTGAGCATTTATTTATTTCTGTATTTATTTTTAAATATGGCAGAGTTGGTCCTCCATACATGCATAGTTGGTCTAGCTTAAAAAGCCAGTCCTGTACTGGAACTACTTTTTCTCCGGTACATTTCTCATAGGAGGAAGTTCGGATTAGGGACAGTGTTACATCCCAGCTACAGATGGTGAACGTTTCACACTTTATGTCCAAATGCCTGAACTATCCCTTTAAATCAGACATTCCTCCAAGGCAAGCAAAATTACTTAAATGGAGCAATCAAATGACGACAGACTGATCGTCTTTCTGTTTGCATATGTGTTTTAAAAAAGGAAGGAAATTATCACATATCTCAAAACACATATAGCTTCAAACTTCTCAATGTTTCACGTGAGCAGTGATTCATATCCTTTGCTTTTCTGCTAAATATTACTTTCCATTCTGTCATAACACCAGATTCTTGGGCAATTACAGCATGAATGAAAATTGAAACATCAAAAATGTTTGTTCAGAACAAAACTAATAGATAAGATTTATAAGATACCCAAATGTGTAACTTTAGAATTAGTTTCCTATTTTCACCTCCAGATAGGAAACAGTAACAAATTACTATTTTATTTAGTGACAAAATATCAAAAATGTGCCACATTTTTGATATTGGCTTTAATATTAATGTTTGTTACTCAAGTAGAAATCCTACTGTTTAAAACTATTATGTAGAAGTATAAATTTAAGTTTTTTACTCAAGTGCAAAAGGAAAACTTTTAAAACTACTTAACCCCTTGAACTCTACGGACCCACCGGCGGGTCCAGCTGCTACGTGACCTCGTAATTTTACCAAAGCCCCAGTATTTATGTAAAAAACATATTTGGCACAGTTTGGTGACATTTATGGATAAATGTGCCAAAATGGCCTCTCCGCCTAAGAAATTTCTCACTAATACCGTTCTAAAATAAATATGATTCATCTGATTGAGCCCAAATTTGGTATATTTTTACACAACATTTAGATTTGAAAGTCTGTACTACTTTTTTGTGCTATAAATAATATTTTGGTAGTGTTTTGCAATGTTTATTTCAAAGAAAATTTTGGCGAGGTTCAAAAAATGCAAAATATTTTGTATTTTGTCCCTAATATTTCAGGCAGGGTCAAAGCTACAATGGTGCTGACACCAGAAAACCATTCTATGACATCTTACCTTTACAAACGTACCAAAAGTTTCTTCTTAAATCTAATAGCTTTGAGGCTATAAGTTATTTACTTTTGTGTGTTTTTGTCAGGCAGAAATTTATTTATACCCTTAGGGTGTAAGAGGTTAAAGTATAAAAGTAATCCAGGAAAAAATGTTAAATGTTAATACTGGTTACTGCACTAGCTGATTAATAAAGGAAAATTTTTCTACAGTTCTGGATGATACTTTCTTCATACTTAATTTTATTAGCTTTATAACTGATAGTAACAGTGTCAGATCTAACTTTGCATCGTGTTTAAAAACTATTTTTTTTTGTATGTAGTGAAAAACAAGTTGGAGCAGAAATCAGTCCAACCACAAAGAAATTAATTGTCTGGATGAAACTAATTATTTTGATGGTTTTTCCTTTTTTAAATACCAACAGGCCATAATGACAATGAGCTTAAAAGGAACTAAACTAACAAGTCTATTTTTAAAACATAAGGAGGAGAAGAAAAAAGTTGCATAAAAAAATATTTGCTCCAGTAAAGAATAGATTTCAACTTAAGGAAAAGTCCGGTCAGCAAGGAATAACCAACTGATCATTATTTATACCTAAAACTAAGAAGTTCACTGTGATTTAATCAATTTAGCGTTAATCAGTAAAAAAATAATAATTTTCGTTGCGATCACCGAGTCTGGGAGCGGACATTTTTGCCCAAATATAGTAACCCCTCCCTCCTGCCATCTTCCAGCAGTGACGTCACGGTGCGGTAAGCCTAGCGCCATTCTCCCCGCTTTACAAGCTAAATCAATGGGAACTACTAGACACATCTGCAATCAACAACAATTATTTTAGATTTCCAGAGGACTTCACCATTGAAATTCACCAGAGCTATAGTGAAACTGACAATGCCCACGTGCATGGCAGCTGGATGCTGGAATACATCGGGGAAAAGTGAAAAATAGAGTTATTCCACCTTTCTGATTCCTGATCCTCCACGGACGGGTTGGTCGTTGGATCGCCAACTTGAAGAGGGAGGATTTGCCATCGAACTTCTGGCCAGAGAAAAAACCCGTAATATGTAGCCAACATTTGGAAGAAGAATGTTTTCAAGATGACTTGGATAATAGCGCGTTGTGACAAACACCAGATGCAGCACTGGGACTTGATTGAAAGCCGATACTGCACCGTGACATCACTAACCAGTAGGTGGCAGTAGTGTTCTTTGACAAACATGGACGCCTCCATTAAAGGACATTCAAATGGAAATTGGTCCTAATTAAAACACTCTGTATATGATCTGTGTAGCCTTGATTGTAACACATGGTTTCATAAACATTTCAGCCTATGACCCAAAAGATAATGCTACAAAATGGCAATTTAACCTATACAATTTATAATTAAATTAAAATTTAATTGTGCATTTAACTATTTAACTGTATGCTTCATATCTGAAACACCTCAGGGGTGGTTCAGACATCCGCTTTGGGAACCGCTGCTCTTATGTATTTAAATTCTATTCATTGTTGCAGCCTTTTCTGGACTATAGAACTTACCTCAGTATAAACCGATCCAACATTTTTTTTTTTTTGCATGTGTTCTGTCTGGCGATGTGGCAATAAGAAAAATTGTCTTGATGCCAAAAAGAGAGCTTTTTTTTTTTTTTTTTTTTTTTTTTTTTACAGATTTTGCTTTCACAAGTGGAGCAGTACGGCTATCGCCATAGTGTTCCCCTTGATTTATCCATATAAATAACTTTATTATAATGCACGCAGGGAGGATTACAGATTTTATGGACGCCATGGGCCCCAGTGGCGCCCCACCCCCTGGCGGGAGCCCCAGCCGAGCCCCGCTGAGCAGCTGCCATGAATAAGCCAGCACTTTGAGAACCGGGGGGAGTCATTAGAGGTAATAACATGTTTCAGAGGAGTGATCATAGCGATCTGCATCTGCAGTACTGCGTCTATTTCCCTGCCAGTCAGTTCAGCTTCTCTGATTGGCTGTTGTGGAGCATCAAGTAGAAAAAGTAACATTTTTCCAACTTCAGCATCTGCTGGTTGTGAAGCACGTCACGCGCCTCAGATGCTCAGAAGCTCATGAGGTGTTGCTTCAGCTGCTCAGACGCTTTGCTGGACCCTTTTGATGCGCATTGATGCGTGTCAGCCATAGATTTTGCATGTAAAGCAGCTGCTTCTGCTGCCCAAAGCGAGGTGTGAACATAGCATCAAAGCTTCTGATAAACGAGCGGGGCTTTGTCAGCTCTTTATTTCAGAGTTGCAGTTACATTAATGTCAAAATGAGTGAATTCAGGACATTTGTTTTCTGTAGTGGCTGCTGCTAGGATGTGCTGGTGCTAATGACAGCATGTTTTCCAGTGTAGTCCGGTTTCTCTGACCATGACTGGCTGGATGTTCTCTCTTCATCCTCTGACATGGGAGCTGGCTCTGTGCTTGTCGGCCTGGCTGTGTGTTTCCTGGAGGGGGCCGCCTGTGGAGCTGGTTGACAGTTGCCTTTTGTATCTATGCTTCTTTTTCTATGTCTGCTTCTGTCTCCTTGAACCCCAGTCGACTTCAGCAGATGGCCGCTCACACTGAGCCTGGTTCTGCTGGAGGTTTCTTCCTGTTCAAAGGGAGTTTTTCCTCTCCACTGTCGCTACAAGAATGCTTAATATGAGGGATTGCTGAAGAGTCAATCAGTTGATGCAATCAGCTGGTTTTCCTTAGATAGAAAACTTTGAATCAATCTGACTGAATGATCTAGCTGAACTGGAATGTGCCTTGAGATGATGTGCGTTGTGAATTGGTGCTATAGAAATAAACTGAAATGAATTGAAATTGAATTTAATTGAATTAATGAAAATTAGCCCCTTTCTCTTCGATTTCTAACTTTGACCTCCGGCCCCTGGCATATTGAGGAAAACTCTACAGAATAGCCTTTCCATAAGCCAGATGGTTCAAATCGTGGGAAACAAATTAGCGAATTAGAAGGTACTACAGTATATAACTAATCCTGTCTTTTGAGTTGAACAGTGTTATATTCTCCTTTTACTGAGAAGAGATAAACATTTTGTGAAACGTTGTACTCACTGAGATGTCCTTCTGCATTTTCTCGTACGTTAGAGTCACAGGGCAGCTGCTGGTCGGTGAATCTGGCCTCAGGGTGAAGCAGTAAGAGGCGGAGTTTTCTGGTTCTGTTAGAGCCTGCTGGAGGTCCTGGATGTACCTCTCTGTCGGCATCTCCAGCTCCTCTGCCTCATCATTCACCTCATCTTCACTCACTGTACACATTAAACACAGAGAGCAGATATTTGATGTTGAATCTTTCTGAGAAGGCAGCTGCTACCGAGATTACAGCCCACTTGAAAAGAAAACATCTATGATAGATTTTCTAATGTATATCCCACTGAAAAAGAACTAGTTGAAGTCAAAGGTGATGTCATGAGGTTCAGCATATTGAGATACAGCCTCACATCAACAAATCCGATTTTGCGTCCGATCCAGCAGTGAATCGTGTCAGAGGAGGTCATGGCGTTTAGAGCTCTTTAGAGTTAATGGGGATGATCTATGAAGGTTATTTTGACTGAGTGACAGCTGCGTCCTTTGAAGGCAACATGGCAGTAAGCAATATATTTATTTCCGGTTAGTACAGACAAGGGGTGTAAATAATTGTTTTGTATCGATGCATCGGTACGTCCGTAAGAGAATCGATTGATGTTTTTTTTTTTTTTTCCTCTGGTCTATTTTTAACCACTTGCTCCTGGGTGTAATTCTCCCTCCCGTGCTGCGGTGGCGCTAAACCTATTTTGCTCCCTACCTCGCTTCCTGGTTATACTCTTACAGCAGTGTGTCGCAGTGAGATTGTTGCAGACATTTTTTATTTATGCTCAATATTGAAGCGTGGTCTGTGCTACACGCTGTGGGTCTAGATACGGCCGAGGCGGCGAGGAAGTCGGGGCGAGTTTAGTTTAGTCTTTCCAGGTGGAAAAAGGGTCCAAGCGTTCTCGAGCACCTCGCTCTTCTAGCGGGTCAAACTTCATGAGTTGTTTTCTGCAATTTCGGTCATAAAAACAAAACAAGCCGGCCGCCTGTCTGCTGCACTGTCTGCGGTCAGCTACAATTTCAGAGAGGAGCAGCGGAGCGTCTGTGGAGGGGGCGGGGACGCCTGGAGCCGAGGTATTGCATTGCACTCGCAGAGGGATTATTATTTTTCAGTGAATGAGGTTTTAATAGGCCTTGGGGTAGTACAACTTTTCTACTTCTGTTATTTGCTGTTGTTTCTCAAATAAAATGCATAACGATATTACAGCTTTCATTGATTTATTTCAAATTTGAAACACTGTCTAGCCTGTAAGGTAAAAAAATATAAAAATAAAAAAAATAAACATGAACCAATTAATCAAATGAATTCGAATTGAGTATCGAAAATAATCGAATCATTCAGTCAGGAAATCGACACTGAATTTAATCGCCATGATGGATGTGATTTACACCCCTATTACAGATTGACGGAGTAGGCAGCGCCCCATGCTGTCCAATCGAGGGTACTACCCACCAATTACAGATCGTTTTTGTGACATTTGTGTCAAAAGTGCAAATGAATGCATAACTTGTAAAGTTGAATTTTTGACTCACAGCAGCAGATTTGTTAATTTGCAAAACAATGAATATTAATTTGCATTTGTGTTAAGGAAAAAATATATTTCTTTTTTATTTTTTGGAGAAAAATCTTCCTGGATGGGAAGTGAGACATCGACAAACTTGGAAACAAAGTCGAGTTATAGAATGCGCCTGTGTTTTTTAAATGTATATATTTAACTTTTCATAATCGGTCCAAGTCAAATGTGAGAAATCGTTTACATTTGTGTACAGCACAGAGACAGAAGTGAAAAGAATCAATTCACCCTGCCTAGTTGCAGCCTCTATATACGCAGAGTGACATGAAAAAAAAAAAACGGATTAGAGATTAAAAAGTCGTATGGAACCGATGTGTTCAGTCTGAATCCACACCACTGCTAGAACCCTTTTTATGTACATTCTAGCTTGTTTTCTGAACAAACATTGGACAAAGGTTAAAAAACAGACACCTGCAGATAAAACTAGATCAAAATTAGATTATTGCATAAGACAATCCAGACCTAGCCTCAAATATTTAATAAGCTATTTCCACTGAGCATAACTTTACACAGGTAAAACAGACTAGACTGCTTCACTTGTCTGTTTACTTGTGTTGAAGGTTAATATGTTTTTATGTCATTTTCTTTTAATACTCTCTGTATACGGTAGATCTGCTGCGGTCCTGTGTTTTATGGGAAAGCTTTTGTGCAATTAGACTCTGGCTTGTTTTGTTTTTATGACCAAAATGGCGGAAAACAACTCGTGAAGTTTGACCCGCTAGAAGAGCGAGGTGCGCGAGAACGCTGGGACCCTTTTTCCAGCTGGATCTCCGCTCTTTTTGGCCCTCATGTCCCTCCGTCATTGGAGTAAACTCGCCCCCACTTCCTCGCCGCCTCGGCCGTATCTAGACCCACAGCGTATAGCGCCATCGCAGCACGGGAGGGAGAATTACGTCCAGAAGCAAATGGATAAAAATAGCCCGGAGGAAGAAAAAAAACATGAATCGATACTCTTGCGGACGTGTCGATGCATCGATACAAAACGATTATTATTTACACCCCTAATATCCCATGATTCATTGCGAGTCAAAGCAAGCCGACTGTTCCTATTTGCATAATATATATTTAATGCTCTGAACTTCCATATCAATGCATTTTTTGCACCATGTTTTTTCTCCCACACTGCTTACATTTGATAACTGCTGCACGTTAAGAAACGGAAATGTCATGAGAGCTGTACAGAATGAAATTTTGCTTTGTATACACTACAAAGCAACAAACAAACAAAATAACAATAAAAGTTGTCAAAGTCTGAGTCTGCTCTGTTCTCAGAGGAAAAACATACTTGGCGCCAAACAGTTGTGAATATTGTAAGTGCAGTTTCTTCTAATACAAGTGTGTGAATAATGAATGAAAATAGCTTTTTTAATGGTAATTGAGTCAGATATGTGGCGGTAATGTTTGATTTATCTAAAGGTTTTTATCTGTTACTGTGTAAATGGGTTTGGCTGGAAGTTAAGGACAGATTCTAATACATCTGCAGAGTGGGGACTATAAATCTGATAGGATTTTTATTTATTTTGCACAATTTGCTTAGCTAGTAGTTTTGTTTTTATTTCCTAAGTATTTTTTGTTGGTGAATATAAGACATTTTGCAGATATATTTTTTATACATACATTGTTTAGGTTTACTTATGCCTTTCTACCCTTTTTACAGAATAGAATAGAAAATCTCTTAATGTCCCAAATTGAGCAAATTTACAGCAGCAAAAGGATTATTGAAAAACATGGTCACACAAATGTTGATCTTAGAAAAACAGATAAGAATAACATAATAGTGAAGAGTTAAAAGATAAACAATAAAATCCTGTAAAGTGTTTCAACAATATCAAACTGAGCACATGGAGAATAAATAACCAATATGCAGCTATGGACGTTTTTACAGCAATGGATATTTGAAAATAGCAGCAACATCAGAGATGTGACTGACTAAGGTTTCTATCAACGCGATGTGAAGTTTTTTAACAGGGCATTCAGATCTGGTGAAATTAATAACTGGGGATGTCTAATTCTGAAATCCTGTGTGTTTGGGTTGTTAGAGATACTGCAACATCTATCTATCTATCTATCTATCTATCTATCTATCTATCTATCTATCTATCTATCATTCCATCCATCCATCCATCTCTCCAGATGTATACTCTGCCTGTGACATAAAATATGGATCTCCATCCCTGCCACAAAGGCCATCAAATAATGTTTAAAATAAAAAATACAGTAGGTTGAGAAGGCAGAGCATCCATCCATCCAGATTTCTCCCTTTCTCCATATAGGCTATCATTTGATCATTCACGCTCTCCATAGTTCCCCTGTAGCACGAGCACAGGGCGACTGTTGCGCGCCTTTAGCGAGCATGCACGTTTCCTGTCGCTTGCGCGGTGACTCGTGCCACCTGCGCTGTGCGGAGATGCAGGGGAAACCGTATGTGATGGGGAAACGCAGCTCGACATAACACCGGTATTTCCATCAGGAAAACGCTGTTTTGCTGCTGGAGTCATCCTATCTCCCCATCTCTCTGTGTGTGCTGTACGTTAACACCCGCCAGCAGAAACACCCACCTACCCAACTCACTATTCATCAGCCATTCTCATCCTCCCCTCTCTCATGACAAGGCGCGCACCTCTGGATGCCCTAAAAAATAATCTTTAATATCTCTTAAACAAAAGTAGCACAAACAATATTTTTTTCTGCACAAATCTGCACTAACGTTGCACTAACCATTCAGTCTATTTGCAGAGTTTTTTGACGTGGGTGGGGTGTCAGCTTCACGCAGCTGCGCACGAGTCCTATCATGAAAAAAGGTTCATCGTGCGACCTGAGAAACGCGCAGTAACGGGGTGCCTGCAATGGTAACTGCGTTATAGTTACAGTCAAAGTAATTAGTTAGATTACTCATTACTAAAACAAGGTAACGGCGTTAGTAACGCCGTTACTTTCAACGCCGTTAGTCCCATCACTGGTTATTGACCATTTAGAAGATGCCAACTACAAAAACATTTTTTCTAGAGGGGGTTTTGACGCCCCCCCCCCAGTGCAGCGTCCTTATGCGTTGCATAAACTGCAAACCCACTTTCTGCGCCGCTGGGAATGATTATGACCTGAATGACAGGCATCATATTTATAAAAAGCACTTTGTGATGCCTGTATATGGAATCAACCAGTGATGGTTTAATAATGCTGCTTTGATACTGTCTCACAGAATACTGACACCTGCTGGACCTTTAAAGACACTACAGGCAGCGTTATTCTTGATTCTCCGACGTCGAGAATCAAGAATCCACCTTTCGTATTCCATTTTCAGATTTTTTTAAAGTGTTTAACAGAGACGTTAGCACCTCGACGTCGGAGTACACAGAGTGAAGCGAAAAGACTACAACTGTGTAAACAGGCCCCATTTCCGTTTCCGGTGGCAGGGGAATATTGACTATTCCAACAGAACACAATGGGATTTACAAAATGCTAAATAAAACACTACAGGAACGTTTTTTCTTTACAAAACTTTTTTTGGAACGTCATTGAACAGCGCTGACGACCCGGTGAGTAGCATATTTAAAAAAAAGAACGTTTAAGGTTGTTTTAAGGACATTATCGGGCATGCACTATGGAAGCCGTTCTGAAGCAGCCAGGGGTTGATTCTAAATGAGCCAAAAAGCAGAGACAGGACCAATTGTCAAAATTTTGGTGTCGATCATTCGATTTCATCCTGGACACTACAGAAAATGGGCTAAAAGTGTTAAAAACCGAACTTCTCCTTTAAACTTAAAGTGCAGAGCAAAGAAAACAAAATCAAATGTTTTGGGATGCCATGATAAAAAGGCATAAGGTATGTATTTTAGGCTTGTCCTGCGGTAATTAACTGAAAATAGAAGCCATGACAGAACAGTCACACATCTTTAGATAATATATCATTAATTGTTTGGCTTTTTGTCCTAGCTCAAAATCTAAAATGTCCTTTTAATCACTGCAGACATTTTTCAGTAGTAATAAAGTTTTGTAAATTTCAAACAAATGCTAACTTTAAATGGTGTTTTAGCTCCTTTAAATCTACATACATTTAAAGTGCACAGCATGGAAATAATGAGTCAATTAGAAAGAAGAGGAATAGAGATTAGTAAAGCCATTTCTCTTAAAGCTTACTTGTTAAGCATCAATGGCAGATTTTTCTTTAGAAATATAAGCATCTCTGCATTTTTGGCAGACAGCTTGTTCCTCTTCTCATCTACAATATTCCCTGGTGTGCTAAAAAGTCGCTTACTATCTACACTTGTGCATGGAGCACAGAGGTAGGCGTGGGCTGCTTGTGCGAGAGCGGGGAAACGACTTTTATTGTCTCGCCAAAAAACAAGCGGCTGTCCGCTCCGTGGGATGACTGGCTCTGATAGGTAGAGGTTCATCTGCGATGATGTTGAGCTGCTGATGTCACCGCCACCATGTTCCCCGTCTTCATCCTACAACTATAGCGTGTCAGGAGCCAGCTCGTGGTACTTTCTCTGGGGGCTCGGTGCCAGTCGCTCCCAAACTTGCCTCACCACAAGAAAACGGACTGTCCGTTTTCTTCTTCTTCCCCACTTCCAGTCGCGTACCGATGCAGAGCAACTACAGCGCCCCTAGAGGAATCGGAGGAGTGAATTCAACAAGTAGTGCGTCTCATCGGCCCATCTGATCAGCCTTTATAGAAACCGCCGATCAAACTATTTAAAGCCGTTATCAGCCGATAACGATCGGTGACCGATCAATCGGAGCACCCTTAGCCTAAAGACATATTTCTACATAAGCAAGAATCTTTTCTTCAATGAAATCTGGTAAGGATTGTCTTTTACCTTTTCCTTTCCATGCCTTTTGTCCATCAGTCAGCATCAAACTGAAGCCTAAGCCTAAACTCCTCCCCTCCCAGTCCACTCGCAGAAAGTAGGAGACGTCTGACTGAGATGAGAAGTGGATTTCACGCACTGATGTGTGCATCCCTGCAGAAAAACAAAGCACAAACAGGAAAAAGTCAATTTGCTGTTTCCAGATGCTTCCAATGTTCAAAAAAAAAAAAAAACTATTTGAACCTAAACCAACTCATTGCAGTAAAACATTCTGTATATTGTTCTGGAGGATTATTGTAATATTAGAATGCTATATCAGGTGTAATAATGCAATTAGGAGCAGCATTTGTTTTTCTTCCATTGTTCAAGGCCACCATGGATATTGACTAACTGTCTTTAGTGCCCAAACAGCTCATAGCATCTGTAAAGATAAATGAAAGTGTAATCATTGGTGGATTAAAAACACTACTTGGAGCTAGAACTCTACTCAAACACTGCCTAAAATGTTGCATCAAGGTGACCAACACCTACTAATTAAAATTTAAACAACAGTATTTGTCATTGTACTTGATGTGTATTTAAAACAGTTAAAAAAAACAATCCGCTAGACTTTGTTTCCAAGTTTGAAGACGTTTTTTTTTATTAAATTAAACCAGCTGTTAACGATGGCCGTTAAGGGCATTAATGATAACTCAATTACTAAATCAATTGATTATTATTTCAATAACTGATTCATCCAATTAATTGTTTCAAACCTAAAACATAAAAAAAAATGTATTTGGTCATTTGGTATGGATAGACACACATTCATATAGCTAATTAACAGCACATGCCCCTATATAATTAACACAGATATAAATGTATCTTATATTATTAATTAACAAGTAAGCAGCAAAAAGAAATAGAACAGTTCAATGTAAAGTGTAATGGACTGGATCTCCGATATCTTATCAACATTATGTGATCATTAAGCCGTACACTGTATGATTTTTCCCATCGTACAGTGAGCTACATTATACATTAATACAGTGAGCTGTTTGTCTCACACTGTAAGAACCGGCGCTCTGATGCGATTTACCTGCTCACACTGTTCGTCTAAAAACCAGGTAGGGCTCAGCTCCACAGTGTTGGAGTTAAACGCGCTGCCTTGGCAATCTGTGCAATTTTATGCTGAAAGCCGTAAAAAATTTAAATTTTACAGAAAGAACCCCATTTCACTCGCACCCCCGCCATGCTTCTTTGTTTACATCTAAGAGGAAGAAGAAGAAGAGTTCCTGTTTTCGTACTGCGCGATTTCCCCACGACCACCTTATGACAGGCCTTCGTTACCCCCCCTGTACACTACACGATGCACGATCAGGCTGAAAGTCGGTCCCATCAAAAGATTCTCGCATGACTGGAGAATTGGCTGGAAAAGGGCAAAAAAAAAATAAATCTTGTACAGTGCATGACCGGCTTTAGTCAGTACCAGAGGCGATATCAGAAACGGGTATCGGGTCGGTGCAACTCAAGGATAACCCACTATTAGTCCACTCTATTTGCTGCTACAGGCAGTCAGGAATGAAATTACTATTGCAGCTCATGCAGACATTTGGAACCCTAATCCATAGCTGCAGCCAGCCCACACTGGACCGGCGGAAAAACAAAACAACTCCTTAGTACACTAAATACTAATACTAAAATACTAGAGTTGCATCTAACGATTATTTTGCAAATCAAATAATCTGTAATTATCTTTTCTCTTAATAATCAGTTAGTAAAAGGTTTCTTAAAGGTGATTTTTTTCACAGAATCAAACCAGGTGAAACTTTTCCACTTGAGGAGTTCTAGGTAGAGCATATCAGACAAATAAAAGAAAAAAATTCCTTTTTTTTTTTTTCAAATTTTGTAGATTTACTGCTCTAAGTGTGTTTCTATGTCAGCTAAATGTATAATATAGTCTCTACACTCCAGTATAAAATTAATACATTATTAAATTGGTTGACAATTATTTCAATAATCCATTAAGTAATATTAATCCGCTTATTTATTTCAGCCCTACTAAATACATTTTAATCACACTGAATTAAACTAAATAGCAACTGTTCAACTCTGAAAGGCGTAGCTTTGAGCACAGGTTTACCGTTATAACTTAGTTGCCAGGTTTAGATGTAACGTTTACCTATGTTTGCACCTAAAGTTAAACTCTTAACTATATAAATACTGGATGCCCTTTTGCTAAACAGTTTCCCATATTCAATGGAACAAACTGTGTTATAATTAATGTTCATGTACTTTTAATTTATATTAGTATTGTTTTTTTTTTTTTAAAGATATCCAGGGTTAATAAAACAAAAATCTGCATGACTATAACATGCACAGGTTTTGAATGGAAATTGTCTATTTTTTAAATATTCTATTTTATTTTCAGATTATAAAATTACAGACCAAATAATTAACTTAATAAAAAACTTGCCATTTTGTAGATTTTCAGTTTTGATTATTTCATGCCATACTTTATCAAGGTACAGAAGACCATCTACCTCAAGGTTTTCATGAATCAAACCTGGATGGTGCTGCCTTATACAGCTGCTTTTTTTTTTTATCTCTGCTTCTGTCTCCTTGAACCCCAGTCGGCCTCAGCAGATGGCTGCTCACACTGAACCTGGTTCTGCTGGAGGTTTCTTCCTGTTCAAAGGGAGTTTTTCCTCTCCACTGTCGCTACAAGCATGCTTAGTGTGAGGGATCGGTCTCCGCCAGTCACGTGACATTTGTTGCTAAGACGCCATTTTTGGTGGAAAAGGCGTAGTGTAAACAACCGCAGCATAGGTAAACGAAGGACTAAAGGATTGAGTTTGTTTCTCTGACTATATGGAAAAAAGTAAGCATAATGCGAAATAACCGTACGGTGTCGTGCCAAGGTAGTTATCCCTGCGAAAATTTGTATCCCCTCGTCGGGAGCGCGCACGGAGTAGGAAGAACAGCCCGAGTTAACTCCGCTTCAATTCCAACGTGCAGAACTTGAAATTTGAAAGGTTTTACGTGTATGAAAGTTGAGCTTTACTGTTTTATTCTTTTACTTCACATGTTTTAGCAGAATACCGCCAGTGATATTGATCTAAAACTAATAATAAAACACAAACGCTTGCTTGAAAGCTGGTCGCTGACAGCAGTGTCTACTCCTCCCTCTGAAAGCAAACAGATCCTTGTTCTTTTCCACACGTTCATTAAAAAAATCTCTCATTGTTTCACAGTGTCCAAATGTTCTCATCTCATTGAAAACTGTTGTAAACCATATACTTGTAATAAAAATGAAATAGAAAATGGACTGCACGTGTAATCATTAAAGACTTTATGCAGAAGGAAAATATTTTTTTCCTGGTTTAAATTTAGTACTTAAATCTATATCTGTGTTTACAGTAACGTACAATTTATCTATGTTGTACTATCCTTAATAAACAGTTTGTCTTCTAACATCAGCCATTTTATTTCATCCCATTTTGCCACAATTGACAATATGGGATGAAATAAAACCTGCTGTAATCTGTTCCCCCTGTCTAAATCAGGCAAAAAAGGTCCCAGCTTTTTCATTTTTGGCTTATAAGCATCATAAAAGATGCTTATAAGCCAAAATGCTTATTCCCCCCTTATAACTTTAAGAAATAAAGGTCCATCACATCAAAAGTTTCAGGAGTTAGTTGTCATCATAACAGATGTTTATAAGCCAAAAATGAAAAAGCTGGGGCCTTTTTTGCCTGATTTAGACAGGCGGAACAGATTATAGCAGGTGGCCTGCTATAATTTGTTCCCCCCTTATAACTTTTAGAAATAAAGGTCTATCACATCCAAAGTTTCAGGGGTTAGTTGTCATCATAAAAGATGCTTATAAGCCAAAAATGGAAAAGCTGGGGCCTTTTTTGCCTGATTTAGACAGGCGGAACAGATTATGGCAGGTGGCCTGCTATAATTTGTTCCCCCCTTGTAACTTTAAGAAATAAAGGTCAATCAACTCCAAAGTTTCAGAGGTTAGTTGTCATCATAAAAGATGTTTATAAGCCAAAAATGGAAAAACTGGGACCTTTTTTGTCTGATTTAGACAGGGGGAACAGATTACAGCAGGTTTTATTTCATCCCATACTGCCAGTTCTTGCAATATGGGATGAAATAAAACGGCTGATGTTAGAAGACAAACTGTTTATAAAGGATAGTACAACATAGATAAATTGTACGTTAATATAAACACAGATATAGATTTAAGTACTAAATTTCAACCAGGAAAAAATTATTTTCCTTATGCATAAAGTCTTTAATGATTACACGTGCACTCCATTTTCTATTTCATTTTTATTACAAGTATATGGTTTACAACAGTTTTCAATGAGATGAGAACATTTGGACACTGTGAAACAATGAGAGATTTTTTGAATGAACGTGTGGAAAAGAACAAGGATCTGTTTGCTTTCAGAGGGAGGAGTAGACACTGCTGTCAGCGACCAGCTTTCAAGCAAACGTTTGTGTTTTATTATTAGTTTTAGATCAATATCACTGGCGATATTCTGCTAAAACACGTGAAGTAAAAAAATTAAACAGTAAAGCTCAACTTTCATACACGTAAAACCTTTCACATTTCAAGTTCTGCACGTTGGAATTGAAGCGGAGTTAACTCGGGTTGTTCTTCCTACTCCGTGCGCGCTCCCGACGAGGGGATACAAATTTTCGCAGGGATAACTACCTTGGCACGACACCGGCAGCCTCTCACACAACACGATCGTGTCATTTCTGGTAAATGCCGAAAGAACAGCCGCGTGTGGGTTGTCTCGACTTTCCACATAATATGGTGGTTTTCCCACGATGCACCGCGCCCGAGGTAAACATTGACGTCACCTGGCGCAGACCGATTGCTGAAGAGTCAATGAGTCGATGCAATCAACTAGTTTCCTTAGATAGAAAAGTCTGAATAAATCTGACTGGACGATCTGATGAACTGTAAAGTGCCTTAAATGGCATGTGTTTTGATTTTGCGCTATAGAAATAAACTGAATTGAATTAAAGTTAGATGGAACCGGTGCCTGTGTTTTTATACAAACAAGTGAAGAAACAGAAGGTCTGGAGAGTGCAATTCTGTACCCCACCAAACATTTTCCACAGAAAAACCCAGATCGTAACATACCTTCTGTCATGCAGTCTACCCTTCCAATATGGCGGTCGCGTTTACGTAAGAAACCCTTCCTAAAGTTGCTCTTCTCTGTATTGATCCCCCATATTCAAACCCCAATAAAGTGTGAATCTCCATATATATAAAATCTAACAGCTAAAAGGGGAAGTCATAAATATCTGTCCCGTAATAAATAAAAAGAGGCAGATATAAGAGGAGATAGCAGTTAGCTTCCAGCGCTAAACATGCACGAGCTATTTGTAAACACGGAACCGCTAAAGTTTGATACAACAACAGAAGCATGCTGAAGAGCTCAGGACCACTTCTAATACCAGACAAAACAGGAGTCTTTTTCTACCTTAAATTGAAGAGCGACGTCCTCGCCGAACACTTACAGAGAAAACCGGCTCTGTTGTATGAAGCGACCACCGCCTGGGAGATTCAAAACAAAAAGCTGAGTGACGTAATCAAAGAGCGACACTTCTTCTTCATTAAATTTTAACTTGGCACCAATTTAAAGGGGCATTACCGCCAACTACTGTTTCGAAGTATGGGCAAGGATACATATGTATACAGTGTTATTTGTGTATACAAAAAAAAAAAACATAAATAAATAAATAAAACAACTGAAAACAGTAAATAATATCCTCATATAAAGCCTTGTGCCATAGACTAGACTAGAGCATTCACATGTGGTCTGTTACAACACCCCAACATATTATTTAAAGAACACATTTACATTATTTTTTAATCCCTTCAACCGCTATCCAAACCCACCTGTTGCAGAATGTCGACATCTTAAGATAACATGTTTAACTGTCTTCTCTTCCTTGCCAACTTAATATTTCCCAACTGCATGTTTCCCTATCATGTGCAAAGAACTATTGAGGTAGGACAATCATGTCTAACATAACTCTTGCACTAACTGTTTCTTCTCTCAAATATGATCCTTGCACTTTTGTCCCTGATATGCTATTGTGAACGTTGTACAAATATCTCTTCTTTCCCTTACCTATGGAAGCCCGTTTCCGCCACATTGAAAAAAAAAGCCAAATAGAAATTCATAATTATGAGATACAAAGTTTGAAAGTTAAATATCTCATAATTATGACATTTTAACTCATAATTATGATTTTGTATCTCATAATTATGACTTAAAAGTCTAATTTATTAATTTGAATCTATTCAATTTGATTCAATTCATTGTATGCATCGTGTAATATACAGGGGGTAATTAGGGGCTATCAGCTTTCACGACCACCTCCCGATCAGGAATCGTAAGGTCAGGAGAAAATCAAATATGTTTGAAATTCAGTCGGCAGTCGTGGAGAAATCGTTTAATGCACAAACAAGGATTCGTCTTCTTCGTCCTCCAGATGAAAACACAGAAACATGGCGGGGTGTGAGCAGAGATGGGAAGTAACGAAGTACAAATACTTTGTTACTGTACTCAAGTAGATTTTTCTGATATTCACTGCATGAAAAGTGGGATTTTCGTCAATATGCGGCACTGTAGATTGTCGTGGAACTTCAGGTTAGCGGCAGTTTACGACAATTTGCAGGCTTCGCCGAAAACCCCCGTAAATTGTCAGAAATTGACGTGGACTCTCTTAGGCAGTGTTCCCCCCATGCCTCCCCCCCATGGAATTCTAGGGGAGGCTTTAACATGTAAATGAACATGCTGTGAGCTGACAGAGCAATACATTTAGAGCCGTAATTATAAAAAAAAAAAATTGCATTTAAGATAAAAAATAAAATGTTATCTGTCAATATGCTCAATTCACAATTACTTAAGTGGAAAAGTTTCAAGAAATGAGTCTGAGATGATTCACTTTATAACATGGCGCATTATCCTGTTGGAAGTAGCCATGAGAAGATTGGTACACTGTGGTCATACGGTCCGGCCAGGTCAAGATCCGCAATTGCAATCGCACCAAACAGGAAAAAGAACATCGACAAATTCCGGTTCGTCAAATTAAAATATAGCAGCAACAGATCGGTGACTAGAAATTATAGCACAATTCTTATATATAAAAAAAAAAAACTAACACCGTTTATTTAAATGATTGGATCCAAACTATTGGTTATTCACCAACGAGGAAGCAGATTTCTCATCTCCATCAAAATATTTATTTTATACCGAGGGACTTAAACTTTAATCAAATCCATTCAAAAGAAACTTCTTATTACAGGAATGAAAAGAGAGGCTGAGTTTGGGAGTAGTGAACAAGTTCATTAAAAAAAAGCAGTTTTGAATTATCCTTATCCCCGTTACAAAAATCTACAAAAATATAAATATATATTTGGGCAGAAACTGAACATATGCTGGATGATGGTGGGATTTTTTTAATATGTCATATTAAATTAAGCGCTCACAGGGTTCATACAGGAATGAGTGACTCTAATTTAATGCTATTTTAATGCTATTTGAAATGATTTTAATGCCATCATCAAGAACCATGTACACAAGTTATTAGTGTACATGAAATATGAAGGAGCTGTAAGCACAGTTCCATGACTCCTGTATGTATGTAAACACACACATATACGTATATATATATCCTCTAGCTTTTTCTCCGCCTGGAGCGATATAATATATCTGACGAAATTGTTTTTATAAGCATTTTTTATTAAAGAATTATAAATACTTCGATAAACATATTTAAATAATTTTAGTGCCAATTAAGGCCTTGATTTAAAAAAAAAAAAAAAAGAATGATTTTTTAATTATTTTTATTGATCCGCGGAAACCCTGGTTCATCTCGCGCATGCTCTGTACGATCTCCAAGAAACTCAGAGCGGAGCTCTGCAGCCACAGTGGAGGATGGATGCTTTGCTTTGTGCAGCGGTCTGGAGCGTCTGGATTTCGGGGTAAAACTCCTCTTGGACGCGATGGCGACTCTGCATCGAACAAGACGAACTCAAAGAAGAGATGCTAGCGGTAAATATATGTTCGATTACTGCCTGCTAGGCTAAAAGCAGCCTAGCCTAAGCTATGGCTAATAGCAGCCTAGCTATTAGCCTATCTAGCCTAGCCTTGCAAGAACAAGCTTTATTAAAGTGTATTTTTTGTGATTCACAGGAAGCAGTACGCCGTCTTCACAACTCGGAGACTAATTGCAGGCGCTATGAACCGGAGCAAGGGTAAGATTTAAAGAATATGCTTTCATTCTGCGGTAAAAGGCAATGGATACGGATGGATACCGATCATAGCTGTACATTTTGTTTTCACAGACCTCCTATTTGCTCGGAGCCATATCAGCAAGTCCAGATTTGCACGATGTTGATAAAGACCACATTGTGTGTAAGTGACTTGTTTTAATGTTTTCTCCTTCCTTGTTACTGTGACTTGCGTTTGATTTTTTTATTCATACCACTCTCATTTAATTGTTTTCCAGCTGCCTGTAAGACGTATTTTCAGACGGTATGCAGGAGCTTCAGATATACGCAGCCAGCCAACACGCTGCGTGCGGAGGCAATCTGCTCGGAGTCAGGCCAGAAGAAAGAGGGTAAGACTTTATTTGGTGACTATTTTTCAGGTGAATTGATAGATGTGTTGTGTCCATACGCAGAGCACTGATTCATTGTTTTTTTTTTCAGCTGCTGAAAGCGAGGCAGAGTGTGCTAGCAGATGAGGAAGTGGAACTCTGGAAGTCCGCCTTCCTCGGCGGTGTCTCTGGATGGATTGTACGGTCGCCGCCATTTCGTAGGCCGGATCTCACTGAACTCTGTGTTAAGCTGCAGTCCCGGTTAGAAGTGATGCCGAAGTGCAGGGCCACGCACAGTAGGCATCTGCACATCGGACCTGCCTCGGAGGGAATGCTGCCAGTTACCTCCAACCCCGAGGAAGCAAACGGACCGTTCACGGAGTTGTAATTTTTAGAAACGCATGTGTTTGGATACGCGTTGTATATAGTTGTGTGTGTTTTAATAAAGCTCTTTCTTTGCATAAACAGCTTCCTGGCAAATCTTCATTTCCTGTATAAATTCATTCATGTCCTTGATGGTAGCATAATAATTGTGTAGTAGTGTAGGATAACATAAATACACATCATATGAATGAATAAATATATGAATGAATAAATATATATATATATGAATAAATATATATATGTAAATTTATATGTAAATATATATATATGCCAACCAATCACGAGCGACTTTACTTGTTTAAAAAGAAGTGGTTCCGTCCAATACTCAGTAAGAAAATTAAAGCCTGGCGTGGCCACGTTTGGTTTTGCTGCCAATCACGAGCGATTTCACTTGTTTGAGAATAGTGGTTTCAGCCAATACTGAGAAGGTTATTCAAGCCAGACCTGGCCAGCCGCGCGGGTTTACTGCATTCATATGCTAATTAGGGCCATTAGTACAGCTGATCGCTCTCCACATACCTCATGGTACGTTTCCGACAATTTGTGGCACGACAAACGCGGACAAGCACGGGTTGCAAATTGTCGGAAACTGACGAAAATCAGGCAGATCTGCGGGAGTTTACGGGGGTTTACGGGGACGAAAATCTCACTTTTCATGCAGTGATTTTTACTTTACTACTTATTTTTATGGCGACTTTTTACTTCTACTCCTTACATTTTTACACAAATATCTGTACTTTCTACTCCTTACATTTTAAAAAAATTGGCTCGTTACTTTAGTTTTGAATCATTTCAATGGAGTTACCGTTATTATTTTTCACGTCATCAATACCAAATTCAGTCTAATTGGATGGGAATCTACGTTGCATTTGACGCACCACTACAAGATGAATCGACAGATTCGGCGGTATTCATTGGCGGCAAATCATTGCAGCTTGGTGGCGCTGGTGTTAGCATAGTAGCATGGACGACGAGATGATTGAAAATGAACACAACAGAGATCTAGTCCTATTGGCAGACATCCATTTAAAATGTAGGAAACGGCATGAAAAAGTGGTTTCTACTTTTACTTTTATACTTTAAGTAAATTTACAAGCCTGTACTTTGTTACTTTTACTTGAGTAAAGAAGTTTAATCAGTACTTCCACTTTTACCAGAGTATTTTTTAACACAAGTACCTGTACTTTTACTCAAGTACGGAAAGTGAGTACTTTTGCCATCTCTGGGTGTGAGTGAAATGAAGTTCTTTCTGTAAAATTGACAGACTGTAGTAGCCACGTTTGTTCAGTTTCCTCTTCTACTCATTTGGTTTCCGGATAGACATGTCGGATTAGCACCATCTCACTGCAGAGCTGAGTCCGACGTGATTTTTAGACAGTGTGAGCAGGTATCAGGCATCAGAGCGTCAGTTCGCACAGTGTGAGAACATACATTGTGAGCTATAACATTTAAACCCTGCAGTTTCGTCGTACAGTGTGAGCTGTAGCTGCGTGCCACAACTGAAAAAATTGTACAGTGTATTAAGGTCATAACTTATTACGGTTTCTAGGGACATTGCTATCTTTTGTTAGAATACCAACTATGTTCAAAAGGAG